AAGAGGATCCTAAGGTATGTGAAGGAAACAACTGATTTTGGTGTTCTTTATAAAAGGTCAACAAATGTGAAGCTAATTGGATTTACAGATAGTGATTGGGCTGCTTTAGAGGAAGACATGAAGAGTACCTCAGGACAGTGTTTTTCTATTGGTTCAGGGGTGATTAGTTGGAGTTCTAAGAAGCAAGACTCAGTTGCCAAGTCAACAGCAGAAGCTGAGTACATTGCTGCTTCTCTTGCTGCAGATCAAGCTGTGTGGTTCAGGAAACTGATGAATGATTTAAAACAACCTCAGATACATCCTACTGAGTTGTTTTGTGATAATTTATCTGCTGTTGCAATTGTTAAGAATCCTATTCTTCATGGTAGAACCAAGCATATCAAGATCAAATATCATTCTATTAGGGAGATGGTTAATGAAGGTGAAGTTCAGGTTTTGCATTGTGATTCAGATGACCAGATTGCTGATATATTCACTAAAGGATTGCACAAGTTCAGATTTGAGACACTAAGAGACAAGCTTGGGATGAGCAGCATTAGTGTCAAGGAGGAGTGAAAACAGCAATGTAAAGACAGTGACACAAATGCTGTCACACTATTTTTTAGTTTGTAGCAGTTATTAGTTGGTTTTTTAATCCAGTTTGTTTTTCCATTGTAGTGCAGTTAACTTTCAGTTTTTAGTAGTTTCTTTATTTCCTTGTAAAAAGCAGATTTGTTCAATGGGAAATTTCAGTTCTGCACTTACCAGATCTTCATCTCTTTGTTTACAAACTAACAGGAAACGTGTGTTAGACTCTTGCAGTTGAGTTTTCTGGCTTGACCACTAAAGAAAGTGTTCATGACCAAGATTCTGCTGATACATGGCAGAATTGTTAGGATTGCCAGGATTGTACCCCAGGTTAGCTGGTTCCAGCCAAGCCAATCTTAATCAAAATAAAGCCCCAGTCTTGCGATGGCCAAATAAATACATCAGACACCACAAGAAATATAAACGGAAAAGAACACAAATTTACGTGGAAAACCATCCAATAGAGAGGGGAAAACCACAGGACCAAAACAGGAACAAAATTCAATATTAGAATGAATAATACAATACTGGTGTCTCAATTTTTTTTCCCAGACATAAGACCTAGAGCAATATGGAAAAATAATACTAACTGTCCAAGCACACAACTATTACTCAGATACTGAGTACATTGATTCTTTGTAATCAAAATATCTTAAAAAACACTCCAAAGAGAGAGAACCCCGTAGAAGTTTGCCTCTTGTTGCAGCAATCCTTGTTAAGACTTCTACAAAACCAAATGAAACAAATTGCCAAATTGCATTCACATCATTGTTAACTTTTCTATTAACTTGAAATTAAAGATTAATCTAGGATTTGCATAATCTTTCAAGCTGAGCAACTTACTATTAAATCAGCCTGAACTTGTCCCTCATATCCTTGTCTTGGTGGGTGGTGTTGGAGTTGTGGTGTCAAAGCTGCAACACAGTGGCAGCAAATGAAAAGACGTGAGAGCTGCAACAACAATGCAGTGGCAGCAAAGTGACAGCCACATGGAGCTGAACAAAATGGCAGCAAATCTTTTGAATGTAATCTTGCTTTAAATGTTTGATAGATTTTATTGTATTAGGTTGAAATTACTGTTGATGTATTATGAGATTTATGCTATATAATAGCAGAAATTGAATGAAGAAAATGGGTTCTCACCTCACCAAAGGAGGTAACTCCGAGTGTCACTCTCCTTCTCCTCCAAGTCCACTCTCTCAACCCCCTTTTTACCCCTAAAAATCCAACATGGTATCAGAGCTTCAATGATCTTGAGGAATCTCCGAGAGTGATTTTGAGAGAACACCACAAAAAAAAAAAAAAAAAAAAAAAAAAAAAACCTAGAAAAAGCCACCTTTCTAAATGGATGCCAGTAGGTTTTGTTGTGAAATCCCTCTTCCATTTTTAGCCAAATCACTCCGCAAGTGATGAAGGCGTATGGTAGGCCCACTATAGCTCAAGATCAAGCATGGTTAGGAGATGGTGTGGAGAGGCAAGCTGGACCAACAAAGAGAAGGTGTTCATGGATTCTACAGCCAGCAGTCCAAAGGGAAAAAGATTTTCTGTCAAGGGTGCAGCCTGAGTAAGGAAGATAACTCAGAGCATGCATCAAGTCATATTCACCATAAAGTTGAATCTGACCTCGATCCCAAGGAAGCTGTATATGGAAATGAAAAACAAAGAAAACTGAGCTAACTTACAGAAAAGCTCAGCAAAGATCCAAGGAAGTACAAGTTGCTGAAATGGAGTTGCTGAAAATGTTTAAAGCTCCAAGAATTTGTTAAAGCAGCAAATCTAAGCAAGATGAAGCTGCAGCATTGAAGGAGGAGTTGATATGCCAAGGAAGATTGCCATAGCAGCAACATAAATCAAAACCAAAGCATAAAGAACTGCAAAAGGCAGATTCCAGATGCTTAGGTAAATTTCTTGTTTGCCGCAGCTTTAACACCAAGGAGGAGTGTTGGAGTTGTGGTGTCAAAGCTGCAACACAGTGGCAGCAAATGAAAAGACGTGGGAGCTGCAACAACAACACAGTGGCAACAAAGTGACAGCCACATGGAGCTGAACAAAATGGTTGCAAATCTTTTGCATGTAATCTTGCTTTAAATGTTTGATAGATTTTATTGTATCAGGTTGAAATTACTGTTGATGTATTATGAGATTTCTGCTATATAATGGAAGAAGTTGAATGAAGAAAATGGGTTCTCACCTCACCATATGAGGTAACTCCGGGTGTCACTCTCCTTCTCCTCTAAATCCACTATCTCAACCCCCTTATTACCCCTAAAAGTCCAACAGGTGGAATGCTTCTACATATCTGAATTTAACAAGCAAGTAATCTTAGCTGCACTGGTAGTGATATATGGTTCTCAAATTCAAACACTTGAACAAAATCTTTTGAATCAGATATAATTCAACTGAAGTAACAATATCACTCTTCTTGGAGGAACAAATGGTACATAGTAATAAAAATTAATGATGAGAAACAAACAGAGATCATGTACTTCAAATCTGTAAAATTATGTAGTTGATGCCAAGGAATTGAAAATGCATATGCCTTTTAATGAAGTATAACTGGTGTAAACGTTGGTTTGGTTTTTACCTGTAATAGTTTTCCTTCAAAGACAGACATGAGAGATACAAGGTATGTTCCTAATTGATTAAAATTGAGCACCTCCAAGATCATCCTGTATGATCCAAAAATTTTCAAGAAGCAAGTTTACTGTAAGACTAAGTCCTCACTCAATTCTCAAATAATAATTATGAGACATAATAAAATATCTAGAAAGCATACCAAAATCATCTTTTGCTTGGTGAAGCTACTTTTATTCCATTCCTCTGCTATTGCTTGCTTCTTGGATGAGGGTCAGTTTGGTGTTTTAAGGCAAATAGTGTCTATGTTTTTTCAAGGGAAAAGTAATTCTATGCCTGCAACCAAAAATGAATTCCATTTGTGTATACATGTTTTGCAACAAGAAAGGATATAACTAATATGGATCTTAGTTCCAATTGTAAAAGAAATAATAATTATGCAATTGAAAAAGAAAAATTTGATTCACAAAATTAATTTAACATATATGCTCCAAGTTGCTGCAAGTTTTGGAGTCTGTTGATTTCACCATATGCTTCGAATGAAGAATGCAACAGCTAGTGTTGCAGTCACATTTTATGCATAAGACCAAGTGTCTTTTATACAGCTAATAGCTTTATTTACATATAAACAAACTGCCGAAGAAAAACTATACAATAACCCATTTTGGAGCAAAATAGCAATTTAAATGGAGAAGATAGAAAATTAAGAAGTCTTCAAGTTGAACGTTGGAAAAAGAAATTGAGGAGCCTCATTCAACATTTGAGTTAATATATTTTATTGTATTGCTCCCTAAATTGACAGAAAGACAAAGACTTAATTGATAGAATGAGCCAATGAGGAGAAAATTAGTGTTGGGAATTTATAAATTATTGAGAAGTGCAGTTGCGAGAAAAAGAGGAGTTGGGATTTCAGAAATCAGGCATACCTGTTGCCTCTCGCAAACCTCAATCTTGGGATTAGAAGGACTTGCCATTTATGTGGATGTTTGGAATGTGAGAAATCTTGGACCACTCAGGACCGCTTTCCTTGGCACATCTTTCCTCTAACAAGAGGCAGCCATAAATGTCAAGTGACAGCAATTTGGAGAGTCGTCGAAAGGCTTCCGCAGAAGGCAGTTGTTTCAGATTCTTGCAACTTCTAACAACTAGATATTCAAGGGAGGATAAGTTTCTCAACCACTCTGGTAAGACTTCCACTCCATCAAATCCGGATACCGACAAGTACTGTAGAGCATTGAGGTGTTGAATTTGATGAGGCAACTGACTTAGCTTTTCCCAACCATACAATTGCAAGTCTTCAAGGGAGGTGTTGATGGAATTCAGACCCGGAAATTCCTCCAACTCTTTTGAGAAACCACCAATCGACAAGCTCTTCAACTGAGTAAGATGGCCGATAACGTCCTCTGGAATAGAGACAAGATTAGGACAATCCTGTATGGCAAGTCTGTCGAGACCAGTGGAGAATGACAGCCCACTCGATAGATATCTTAATCCAGAACAAGAATCAACATGCAATTCTTTTAGGGAGGATAAGTTTCCCAACCACTCTGGCAATGTTTCCACTTCATCAAACTTACTAATAAACAACTCCTTTAGAGCAGTGAGGTGTTGAATTTGAGGTGGCAACGTAGTTACTTTTTTCCATCCATACAACCGCAACTCTTCGAGCGAGGTCTTCAGGTAGAGAATGGAACCAAGTCCAGGGAATTCCTCTAGCTCTTCGCAAAAACCACCAATATTCAACTTTTTCAAGCTAGTAAGGCACGCGATAGGCTTCTCTGGGATGCTTCTCAATTTTGAACAATCTACAATTGTTAACTCAACAAGAGAATGCAATTCCTTCAATTCTTCTGGAATAGAGATCAGGTTATGGCAGCTATTTACGTACAGTATTTTAAGAGCTGTGCAGGATGATAGCCCACTAGGTAGACACTCTATTTCACATTCAGACAAAAATAAATTTTGAAGAGAGGTAAGCCCATCAAGACTTGGAGTAAACCTCAGATTAGGCAGCACAAACAGATATATGGACTGAAGGGAAGTAAGCCCATCAAGACTTGGAATAAACCTCAGATCAGGAAGCTTAGACAGTTTTATGGTCTGAAGGGAGATAAGCCCATCAAGACTTGGAATAGACCTCAGATTAGGAAGCTCAGACAGAGCAATGTCCTGAAGAGATGTAAGCCCATCAATACTTGGAATAAACCCCAAATTAGGCAGCTCTCCCAGAGATAAGGACTTAAGGCACTTGGAGGCTGCTAGTATATCTCCGATGCTGCTTATAGAGCAATTGAAAATGGAGAGTTTCAGAAGTGATTGTAACCCACTTGTTGGAACACTTCCCAGCTTAGGACAATTTCCTATGATTAACTCTTGCAGGGACTCAAATGTCACAAATGCTTCATCAGCTATAGTAGTTAATTCATTGCAATTGCCAATATAAAGCAGCTGAAGGGATGAAAGTTCTTTCATTGCAGGAATGCTTTCTAACTTCTTGCACCCTCTAATGTGCAATTTCACCAAATTCTTGATCAAAAACATTTCATTACTGTAGCTACAGTTGCTTGTCATCCATGACGGTAAGTTTTTACCTCCATAACCATAAATATCTAATCTTTGCAGATTTGAGTGTGGTCGGAGGCCTTCCAAAACATCTTCATCATGATTGCCTTCTTTTCCCCATGTCATATTCAGATCATTAACTGCCTTCTCATGTAATTTTGCTCTCATGGCTTCTGATTTGTCTTTAACAAGTTCAAGGTTACGGATCTCTAATCTTCCTCTCAGTCGGCGTAAACATTCCAATTCTTCAATTTTACGCCCCTTTGTTGCACCCACAAAGAACAATGGCAATGTTTGAAGATTTGTCAATCTCCCAAGGTTTGTAGGCATACAATTTTCATGATTGAAGTAGACATGCCTCAAGTTGATTAAATTTCCTATTCCTCCAGGAGGCATTTTGAGAGATCTGCAACTTAGAAATTTAAATGTTTGTAAATTGTATAGATTGGTAACGAACCTGGGCAATTCTTTTATTTGAGTTCTAGAAAGGTCTAAGTATCTCAAACTCTTCATGTTGCTAAAACATGCTGGCAATTCTTCAGCATCAAAAGCATTAGGAAAATTGAGAACCCGTAACCTTTTAAAATTCCCTGACATGCCGCGGGGAAAACCATGCTCTGAAAACAAAGTGTGTAACTGAGCAACATCTCCTAAAGTTGTTGGCACCATTTGCTGATCACAGATGAGATTCAAATGTCTAAAACTAGAAATATTGCTCCCTGAACAAAGAGTCTTCAAAATCACTGTCTCATATTTTGAAATAGTCTGTGCAAAATCATGAATCAAATCATGCATTTTACAACCAGCAATGCTCCCAAATGCATCTCTCCACCCCTCTTGAAATAAAGAATATGATAACAAGTCATTGAAATACTCATCACCAATATCCTCTAGCATTATAGAAGTTTCTTCAGGCAATGGAAGGAACCCTTCTGCCATCCATAGCTGAATTAAAGTCTCCCTTTTCATGACATAATCTTTGGGAAAAATACAACAGAATGCAAAACATTGCTTCAAACCTGGCTTCAACAAGTTATCAAAACTCAATTGTAATATCTGCATAATTCCATCATCCTGATATTCAAGTGAACCCAGTGCATCAATCTTGCTTTTGATTGGCAACCATTCAGCTTTATCTGGCCTTTTGGTACATAAAATCCCCCCTACAACACTTGCAACTAATGGCACACCTCTACATTTTCTTGCAAAATCCCATCCAATATTCTCCAATTCTAAATCTAGATGTTTAGAAGCATCTCCAAATACTTTTATCTTAATTATAGACCAACATTCAACATCTTTAAGTAGCTCAAGATGATGCATGTGGCCAGGAAGTGTTCCCATTGTCAATGCAACATTTTTATCTCGAGTTGTTACAACAACTCTATTCCCTGACGTCTTACACATCCCCAACAAACACCTCTTCAAGTCTTCCCATTTCTGACTCTCTTTATTCCACACATCATCCAGTATGAGAAGATAATTGTTCTCCCCAATAGTTGATCTTATCTCTTGAACCACAGTGTCTTTGTTCCTGATTGCACCAGATTTCTTGGTAAGAGACTCCAACATTTCTGCTAAAATCCTCTCTACATCAAAATTTTCAGACACACAAACCCACATTATTTTACCAAAATGGTTTTGAATTTGGTCATGACTACGCACAGATTGTGCTAGAGTAGTTTTGCCAAGACCAGCCATACCCACTATAGACAGGACACATAGGGGTAGTTCATTAGTTGGATCAGTCAACAACTGCACTATTTTTGAGACATCATCTTCTCTCCCCACAAATTGTGAGAAAGCACCAATAAAAGAGTGGGTCTGTAAATTTCTTCTTTGTTGATAGTTAGTGGTAGCAAGTCTGGATTGAAGTCCAAACCATTGGGCCTCATTGTTTATACCATCCACCATTGCGATCACTTTCTTAATCTTATGAGCCATCCTTAAGCCAAATGCTAAGGGATTGTTGGGGGTAAAAAAGTAACGCACCTTTTTCATCATCTGATTTTGAATCTTCACCCTGCGCTTCACACTTTCATAAGCAACTTCATCCAGTGTGTAATCAGCATCATCAGCCACTTCCCTGAGCTTGAGGAGCCATCGCTTCACAGCCGGGTCTGTCACTTGCCTTTGTCCAGCATCTTGCAACACAGCCTGAATCATTGTTAGCTTGTCTTGAAGCAGGACAAGTTCTTTCTTCCACCTGACCGCATCGTTGATTTGCCCGGCAGCAGCTGAAATCAGCTTGGATATGGTGGTATCAACAACGGGAGAAAGGATGAGATCACCCATTTGTGCTTCAATAGCTTGGAGAAAACTTAGAAAAGCTTGAGGTTGAGTAGTTCTCTGTTAAGCAGACGAGAAGACTAGAGTGCATACGATACAGAAGTAAACGAGAGTGAGTCAATATCAACTGTACAAAACTTTTCTTTATTTATTTTTTTATGGTAACTAGCACTATGGTTAATTGATTTCTTGACCTTATAATAATTGCCATTTGATATATAAAAATTTAATATAACCTCCCAAAACCTTTGTCTATTTTGTTGTTG